GCCGAGGACCTTGGCAAGAGCGGGGCCTGCGCCCCATCCCGCCAGCACAGCGGTGCTGGGGGTCTGTGCACCCCCAGCCTCTTTCCCAACCCTCGTTCCTCAAGACAGGGAGAAAGTCCCATTCACCACAAACACCGTGAGCATCCGCTCCGTGCGCCATGACCTGAAAGGGGCAGCCCCCCCCCCCCCATCTGCTGGGCACAGAAGCTGCAAGTGTGGAACCATCTGGGGGAAATTCAAAATAAACCCGGGGCCACGTCTTCCAACTCCTCCCTCGGAGTGGCTGTCTGTCACTTGGGAGGTCCGACTGAATGAGCAAACAAGGCGGCCTCGCTCGCTGCCACCCCGTGCTGCTCTGAGAAAGGCTCCCCAGACTCGGCATGGCCGGCGGAGCAGCTCAATGACCTGAAAAGCCGCCTGCTGGAGCAGGTGCCCCTCGGATGGCTGGGCAGACGGAGCAGACCTTTCCACGCCAGGCCTCCCGTGCGTGGAAAGGCAGTCAGAAACCACGGACACCGCCGCAAGGGGGCCTCGGTGTTTTCCGCGAAAGGCCAGTGTGGGGCAGCAGGCATTCGCCGCCCCCCAGCAGCTGCCTCTCCGTGGCAAATGCCCCACCCCATCATTCCACAGGCTTTTGTCCCTCCAGCTGGATTCCAAAACACGAAACGGGACCATCGAGGCGAAAGAGTCGGAGCTGCCCTGCGGCAGAACGGCAGAACCCAGCAGGGGAGGCTGACCAGCCGCTCGCTCACCAATTCCCCCTTTCGGGCCCTGCTAGGTCCCTGCAGCTCCGCGGTTTCCGCACAGTCAGGTTTGCCAGGGGAAGACTGGGCTCGACCGTCCGAGTGGACAAGTCCCCAGGAAGCCAGGAGGCAACAGGACTGCCCCACAACCAAGCAGATCCGGGCAGAAGTTCACTAGTCGCCCCCACATGCTATGTTTCTGCATGCAGGGAGCTTGGGATATGGGAGAACGATCCCGTCACATCCCATCGGGTCTGGTCCAGTCCGCAGTCTGAAATGACACAAAGTTTCCTCTGGACTGCCATTTAATTTTGCTAGTCCAAAATAGCTACTCATAGCCAAATCCTTCCCATGTTTACAAACAAATCAAGGCAGGCCTTGTTCCTGTTTGCAGGCCACTCAAGTGGAAATACATTTAAAGACTGAATTTCACAAATTTTGAGTTGCCGAATGCCGCTGCCACTGTGCCTAAGCAATTGCCAAAGGAGACCTACCTGAAGTTCAAGATGGCCACCGACGTGATTGAGCTAAATTGCCATACAAATGGCAGATGGTGTGCGCCAAACAGCACGAAATCAAGCACAGAGTGGCTGTGGGGGCATCCCACAATCATGCCAATTTGGGGGCAATTCTGTTCACAAACTGCTGAAATCATGTTTTCCTTCTCATGCTTTCGCCTGTTTACACCCTTTTTGCCCCACAAGGTCCCTCTTATTCCCTGCCCCCACCTCTTTAAGCGTGCCCATTCAGAAGAACGGCCTGCTTGGAAAGCAGTTCAACACACCTGGTTTGAGGGTTGGCTTCTTCCTGACTTATGGCACCGTTTACAACTGGCACGGTGCAGCCCTCTCATTTGCGACGGGAGATGGTGTTTTATGCCAAGATGCTTCACCTGTGGACATCTGTATATGAATGGGCTCATTCACCAGATGCAGAACTCACCTGGTAAGGCAAGTCTAATGAGGAAGAACTCGCCTGATGGTACGGACGTTTTGGGGCTCCTGCTCCCAAGCACGCACCGGGGATGGCGCCTCTCTTACGGCCCCTCCTTACCGCACCCCACAAACCCCCTGCCCAGCCCATGAGCCAGGCCGAGCCAACCCCAGCAACGCAGGGACGGAGGCTGAGGGTGCCCGGCCTCGCGTCCGGGTCACGTTTCCCAAGTCCCGGCGTTCCCAAGCACCGTTGGAACTCCCAGCCCTGGTTTGGCTCCAGGTGGCTTTGCAGGAATAGGTCTTTTGCAGCCTACTGCAAAGGAAGGGCCTCCTTTCGGCTTTGCCAGTGACTTCCACGGCCACTTGCATCCTGCAGAAGCGGAGGGCCCGGTCTGGACATTCAGGAACAGCTCCTCCCCTTGGCAAGGACGGCTGCGCTGTGTGTGTGCCATTCCCAACATCCACGCGCAGAGAGAGCGGCTCGTCTCTCCCCCTCCTTGAGTCAGGCTCTGCTCGCCCTCCTGAGTCACGGGCGAAAGAGAAAGTGGGAGACAGAAGGGAATACACTGAACAGGCAATTCCTGTTCAGCTCTCCTTCAACTTACAGCCTGTGTTCACGCCGAAGAAGGCCAAGGCCTGTCTCCGTCTGTCAAATTCTCGTGCAAACTAAGAGGATTTTATTTCAGTGGCAGAAAACATTTCAGGCATTCCACAGAGTTTTAACCCAACATCAAATCTTGCGGGGAAAAGCCACTGGAGAGGTGACGCAAGATTCACGTCAAGTGATGTTTGTGGGTTCAGGGAAGTGTGCCATTTAGGAAGTTTCCCATCTGCTAGAAGTGCAAGGCTATTTCCCAGCACAATTGAGGCTGTCAAAGACCATCTCACATCAGTGTACACACAACACACATGCGAGCACGCTTCCTTAAATTAAATGGCATGCAGCAACTTTCATCTTCCGGAGCATCTGAACGTCCTTAGGGATTTGTCAGAGGTGAGAAACAATGCTTTGTCCTTATGCCAATTCAAGACCCTTCGGGGACTGGGCTTACAGGTCGGGCACTGAAGTTCTGAAACAACTGTTTCACAGTAGGAAGATCATGAGAAGAGCCGGTGTGGCAGTTGGGCGCACTCCGCATGACTCAGAGCGGCGGGGAAGAGAACCTGAGCCAGGGCCTTGGGTGTTGCCTCACAGAGAGACCCTCACCGGCCCCTGGAAGCGTTGCACGGGCACCCGCATCCCTGGGCATCAACGGAAACAGACGCACCTGCTGTGGCTAAGGGAGCTCCTAGTCTCCTGCCACTTAGTCGCAGCTGCTCAGATGCCGCCTATGCGGCAGGTGGGGACCCCGCCAAGGAGACGCCCCTTGCTCCCCGTCAGCTGGGGCCGGGATCTCCTGGCTGCACGCGGGAGGCCTACACACAGAAGCCTGACCCGGCTGCAAAAGTCAACAGCTTTCTGGAAATACTTTTGCAAGCTACCTTTTCACTACATAAATGCTCTAAAAATGGTTTGAAGAAAACGGGGGTGGCAAGTTCTGTACCGAAAGAAGCCGAAAGCCAGAACCGCTTTAACCCGTGATGGCAAACCTATGGCATGCATGCCTCCCTGTCGGCATGCGAGCCCAGTCACCCCAGCATTGCCCCTGCGGCCGAGCATCAGATAGCACTGCACATACGGGCCATGTGCATGTTTGGAAAGGAGTAGCGGCGCCAGGCAGTGACATCACGAGCCGCGACTCATTAGCAGCAACTTGGAGCTTTTGCATGGCCGGTTAGTGCGCTGCCAAGGATATATATATGTTTGCATCATTGGAAGCTCTGTTATTGCGTTTTTCTTTTAACACAAAAAATGTTAATGTATGAGTTGTTTTTTCCTAAACTAAAACCTCAGTATTCAGGTTTTATTGCAGTGTTGGCACTTTGCGATAAATAAGTGGGCTTTGAGTTGCAGTTTGGGCACTTGGTCTCTAAAAGGTTCGCTATCACTGGCTTTAAATCATGGATCCTCAAACTACAGCCCACGGGCCAAATCCAGCCCGCCATGCTCATTTATCCAGCCCGCCTCTGAGGTTTTGGACTCGTCCAATCTCCGAGCGAGTCCAAAAGCTCTGAGCTGGCACAGGTGCTCCCTGAAACTGAGCAGAACCGGCACACACGCCAAATTGTAACAGCTCAACTGCGTGTGCGCCGGCTCCTCCCCCCCATTGCACTCATATGCAGAGTAGGAATATGGAGTGGGAAACAGAAGAGAGTTGGGCAGAAGAGAGAGACAAAGACCCTAAAGAAGGACTGAAGGTAAGAAAAAACGTACCTTCTTAATTTTTAAAATCTATTGTTAATTATGCGAGCCATGTCCCTGGGCTGCGGGCCAAGGCACAGCTGCCTCACCGAGCTCGGGATCAGCTTCTTGACAGTGGCGGCTTGCCCACAGAAGGCTGTCCCCTCGGCAAGGCGGCTTGTGGCGGATGCGCGGGACCACAGCCTTCAGTGGGGGAGCCGCCACCCATTGAGCGGCTGCCCCCGGGTTTGGCGGGAGCGGAGCCAACATTTTTTATTAATTTTAATTTTAATGATTTTAATTAATTTTAATTTTAATGATTTTAATTAATTTTAATTTTAATGATTTTTAATTAATTTTAATTTTAATTAATTTTTAATATGCAGTGTGCATAGGAATTCATTTATTTTTTTTCCAAACTATAGTCTGGACCCCCACAACAGTCTGAGGGACAGTGAACTGGCCCCCCGTTTAAAAAGTTTGAGAACCCCTGCTTTAAATGATGTGCACAAGACAAAGCGAGGCAGGACGGGATGCCCCTGGAGTGCTGAAGCCTCACCCCAGCAGCTCAGGAAATCTCCGGCTTCTGAAATTTCACTGGGGGCCACCCTCCCTCTTTCATCGTTATCTTGCGGACATGCGGGGCAAAGAGCAAAGAAGCTTTTTTCTCTGCCGTGGACACCAGTCTCCTCCAATGATACTGCTCTTCACTCCGGCTGCAACCAGACTTCACAAACCTGAGCTGTTTTCCAAAGAATTGTTCCTGTTGCAGGACCGGTTCCACTATCCAGACCCACTGGGGTCCAGACACGTCCCTGTACATTGCACTGCGAAAGGTGAACGGGCTGCAGAGTCAACGGGCAAAATACCAGGGAATCGCTCCTACTCTGGAGGAGGGAAGCGCCGGCATACCAGCGGCCCCTCAAACCGCAACTCTCAAGATCCTATGGGCGAGGGAGCCGTGGCAGTTAAACTGCAGATGTACATTTGTGGGCGAAAGCAAAGAGGACGAGGAAGGAGGGTGCAAGGAAACAGCCTCACCGTTTTCAGCAGCATCCGGTTGTCTCGGAGGGAGCCCACCATTCCAATGAAGGAAACCGCAAACATGGTGATGCCCAGGAGAAGGAGAATCACGGCTGGTGCAAGGAAGAGCCCTTCCAAGGTCCGGTGCGCCTGTCTTTCAACTTCCGCATAAATGCCGACACACAGGATCACCAAGCCGATGATCTGCAGAGAGGGGAAGGAACGCGTCCAGTGAAGAAAGCGCTGGGCAAAGTGGAAAAGGCCTCTCTGCTTCCACGGCATCTCCAAAAATGCGACCGGCAAAGAAGCGTTCTATGGCTGGTCTGCTGAAGCCGGTCCTCTGGCCGGAGCATCCAGCGCGGCCTCAAAACAAGCGGAAATGATGTGCACAAGGCAAGGCGGTGGGGGGGGGGGCAGACAGCAGGGAGGCCGAAAGAGGGGGCCAGTGACGCAGCCCTTGGGGGGGCTTCTGTAGGACTCCAGGGTGGCTCTCCAGCAGACCCACTTCGCAGGGGTGCGGGAAACCTGCCATAGGGAGGTGGGCTGTGGGTGTCGGCGGAAGCTTTGGAGGGCAGCTGGGTGGGACTAGAGCCCACAACCAGGAGGGCAGGCAGGGGTCCATCGGTGGATCCTGGACCTGCCTCATCCCCCTTCCGAAACAAGGCGGCTGACATCAAGGAAGCTCTGGGGAAACAGGACCGAGGAGGCAAGTTCACGGAGGGGCCGCGTCCAGCCACAATCCTGACCGGGTCAGACAGGCGGACCGCAGGATTCTGGCGGAAAGCAAGGCAAACCGGGCAAGCCCACTGGCTGGGAGGCTGCCCTGGACATTCCCAGTCCCCCTTGGCTCTCCTGTCTGTAATTTCTGGAGCGGCGGCCCTGGAGAAATGCTGGACTGGGCACAGATGAGATAAAGGGCACGTCCAGCAAGGAGGGCCCGAAGACACAATAGCGGAAGTGTGGCGAGCACGGACGGGCTGAGCCCCACTGCGAAGCAGCTCCAGGCCCCACTTCAGACAGGGACCGGAAGTGTGGTGAGCCCTTCTTCCAGCCACACCCCCGACGAAAGTCCCTGTCCGAAAAGAGGCCGCGGGGGCCAGGATGGGGCCGCAGGGCCCGGAAGCCCCTCTTGCCACGAGTGGCATCAGCTCTCCAGTGGCCTGCCTGCTCTCACGCATGGACTGGTTGCCGCGGGAATTCGTGGGGGGGGGTTGTTCCTGCCAGGCCAAAAACAACACATACAAAATGATAAAGCAGGAGGTTAATGAAGTGAAATTTCTGAAAATGGGGAGAACAAAGAAGAGTTAATTAGTTTCTGAGAGACAACAGCAGTGACACTCGCCCCGGCATATTGATTGCCCCCCCCCCACAAAAATGCTCTCAAAAGGAAAGCAAATTGTGTACTTTTAAGAGGTGGCAAAATTTCTCCTTCAAGTGGCGCTCGGCTTCGTCAACAGCTTTGCAATGCACGGTACCTTTTTATTTAACAATTTCCCTCAAGCTGCCGGCAGCACATTCAGCTGTCTCTGGCATATTCTACCTGCCTTGCCAAAAATCCTGTTTTTGCATATTTGGCACCTGTAATGGTAATTTTAGAGGTAATCTTGGAACACTTACGGTGATGACTCATATCAAAGAGCTTTACACAAAACCCTCTCGGAAGCATCTGTTTGGGAAACATCTAGTGACATGCAAACCTTTTAAGGTGGCATTTTAATTCACTCGTGGGGTAAAAAAGAAAATGCATGAGATGGAAATAGTTTGATGCAGGCTCATCTTGGAGAAAGTCTTCATATAAGGCCTGAATTAGGTGTTCTCTCTGCTAAGATGACAGACATGGTATCATATATGTTCATTAACAAGAATACAGAAGTGGGAACTTTGAAACAGCTGGGTCCAAATCTTCTGGAATCATATCATCACCCTAGGCTTAGAAAAGCCCTTCTTTATAGGAGGCATTCCACCTGCTCTAAGGACAACCGATCTTTTGCTCTGAGCGAGACATTTTGAAGCGGCTCCTTAAAATTGCATGTCTCCGTTCCACTCCTGCCGAGTCCGCTTGATACTCCACCATGCCGACGACGCTGGCCCGCGGACGCGACGGGGGTCTCCCATGCCAGCAGTGCTGGGGTTTTCCGGAGAGGCGATCAGCCGGCCTTCCTCCTCTGCCCTCACTCGGGATTGCCGAGCCGATCACGCACGGCCTCGCAGTGCTGCTCCAAAGCAGTGCGTGGCGAACAGAGCCGCTCCAGGCCTCTTGCCCCGAGCGCGGTTTGTGCAGGCAGCTCTCCCTCGCCCCAGTTGCGGGAGTCTTTGCAATCGACTTGAGATCTGTGATGCTCAGCACAGGAGACCGGCAACGCCCACAGTGGCGCACACCCGCTGGGTGTGTTGAAGGATCTGCCAGTCCTTCCTCTGCATGCGCTGCCTCGTGAGGGTACCGCCTGAAATGGGGTCCAGAAATACCGGTGGTGCTAAGAATAATAGGCTGAAGAGCATCCCATTTCCTCATTCATCCTGAAAGATATCAGGAGGTGCACAGGTTTCGCTTTGGGAGAAGCCTTCTTTGGTTTCTCTGCACTCCCATCCTGGCGGTGATTAAGTTGATGGACGACAATGGCTTTCTCCTTTTGCGCGTGTCTGTCTGAAACCGGCAATTTGCTCTGTCAAGAGCCCATGTACTTTATGTCCATCATCTCTGAACTGCGGCAACGCAGAAATGGAGAGGGGAGGTAAATTGATTGTTTCTCTGCCAGATCAAGAAGGCCGAGAAGGCAAGTGCGCAAATGAAGCCCGGAAAAGCGGCTTTTAATGGTTCCGCAAGAACGGCAAGCGAGGGCCTCAAGGGCAGGCCCAGTGTTTCTTCGGCACTGCCAACCGTTGCCACTGCCGTGCGGGCCTGCAGACAAGCAGTGCCACGCTGCACACGGGCACCATCTCCGTGAAAATCCACTGGGCAGCGGGGGTCAGATAATGAGCAGTCCTCACAGGAGGCCTCAGCTGGAAAAGTGTGAAGGGACTTTTGGCTAGCTGCTAAGGAGGGTAATTTTGCGGTGTTGGGAGAGGGGAACAGCTACTTCTTCCAAGTTCTGATTCTTCTGAGCAACTCTTCCAGTCCCCCATGCTTTCTTCTTCCAAGGAGCCAGAGCCTGCAGGAAGAAGCCCGTTCAGGGACCACGTAGATCACCGCACTGCTTGGGATCCAAAATGAACCGAACCACCCTCCTTTTCGCCTCACTAGAGGAAACACCCCCCAGAATTACCGCGTGCCTTACATACTTGGTGCAAGGCCAACAGCTGGCAAAAATACTTCACCACAGAAATGTCTGCCAGCACCCAACACGCAGGGATCCGTCTCTGCAGGTCCCGGCAGCCTCTGCCCGCGTTCACTGAGCCTGCGTGGCTCTGCAAGGGCCGGGGCGCAGGCGGCGGCGGAGCTAGGCAGGGCACCGGGCTGGGACCGGGGTGCTCCTGCCGCTGGGTGTGGCCAACAGCGCAGGGCCCAGGCCAAGGCAGCAGGCAATCCAGTGCTGCACGGGAGAGAGAGCGCGCACACCTAGAGACAGTCCGGTGGTCTGATGCCAGGAAGATAGCCACGAAGGGGTGGTCCCGACACGAGGGGGCTGGAGCGGGGCAGGAGAAAACTGGGGCAAGGTCAAGGCGGTTCGAGGTGATGCAGAGGCGAAAGGACAAGAGGCTCCATGTGCTGCTGTGGCAAGAGCAGCAGTGCAGGAAGCCTGCCACGCTGGCCTCTCGGGCCTTCGGTGCTCCTCGGGTGTTCCCCGCACGTGCCTGCAACCGTGTTCCTGGTCCCGCAGGCACTTGCAGAGTCGCTCAGGCCCAGATCCTGGCAGGCACGCTGCGGCCCCTGTGCCCGAGGACCCCGGCTGACCGCGGGCACCGCCCTGCACGCGCCACGCGGAAGCGCGGCCCGCTGCGCTCCGCAGCGCTGGAGCCCGGGCACTGCAGCAGCTCTGTGCGGAGCGCCGTCTGTCCCAGGCAAGCGGCCGAGCGTGCGCTGTTCGCCACCCTCCTGTTTGCCAGTGCCAGGCAGACTGCGGAAGGCAGCGACTGACACCGGCATTGCTGAAATGCAGCTCAGTTCAACAGAGCCGTCATACAAGGCATTCTTCCGCTGAGGAAAAGGGTACCTTTATCCAATTTCCTTAAATTTTATCTTTTGCTCTCTTTCTCAAAGCTGTGATTAACGTCCTTGTCTTTAAGCACCTGCAAAGTCTTGTGCCTTGCTCTGTTAACTGAAGATCTTTCTCCCCACCCGGCTCCAATACTGGAACCAGTCTAGGCTGGGCAGAAAAGTACAGCGCCAGGGATCGGACGGGGGTGGGGGGGTGCCCCATGTCCACAAACACCCTGCCCTGATGGCTGCGCCACCGACTGGCACGGCTCCCCACGAAGACACGCAGCTGCCCCCCCAGCCACCTCCAGACGCCCCTGGCACTGTGAAGACATCCCAGGGAAGCGCTGAGGTCCCGGAGCCCCTGCAGCCGCACCGCAGACGTCGCCTCCTCCTGGCCTGCTCCTGGGGAAGGAGACCAGATGCCGGACGAGCGGCCTTCTTGCTTGACCCAGCACTGCTTTTCCCACACTCGCCACCTTCTTCCCGGCTCACGAGGAGAAGAGAAGCCGACTCAGGCCGGAGCTGCAGCATCTCACGCACCTGCTCAGAACGCGCCGGAGGCAGATCCCATCGCAGCAGCATCTCCACGGGGGACAGGAAGCGCTCCTCCGGCAGGGACGAGCCTGCCCTCTGTCTCCTGCAGCAAGACGGCTTCCCTCCCTGCGCAGGTGTGCACCTTCTCGGTGGATGCTGTGTGAATCCATCAATCACAGCACCATTTGAGCCATTTGATACATACAGGTGGAGCTCAAGAAGGGACTCGAAAACTCAGACCCCTGAGAAACGCTGCCCAGTTGGGAAATGCTGAAAGAACTCAACATTTCCACTGCCCGCAAGCGCTTTGAGAGGATTTCGCCAGTAAAGAACCACCAACACAGATTCCTTATTGCGGCTGGAAGCACAGGCCCAGCTGGTCCCTGCCCGCCAACCTCAGGATTTGCCTTGCTGGTTTCTCCTCCTCGCTGGAGGCTGCCGGCCATGAGTGCCAAGGTACAGTGGCCCCGGCAACCACAAATGAGGCCATGGCCCAAGGAGTTGCCCAAAGTGAGTTGTACATTGTGAGTTC